GGAGGAAGGGAGGAAGGGAGGAAGGGAGGAAGGGAGGAAGGGAGGAAAAGCCTAATCTTTAAAATCAACAGAAAAACACACCAGAAACAATTTGAAGAGAAATGTGCAAGACAAGAAGTCAAGAAACAACTAGAAACGTAGTATACTGATAACTGATTTTAACAGCAGCAGAATCAAGCCCCAAACTGAGACCCCTGAGAAACCCATTATGCCACCGTAAACTCCTCCCACAGACTGCAAGATGTCCATTAAGATACTAAGACTATAAATTATGCATCAGTTAATACAAAGAATATTATGAAATGCACAGAGCATAAATTCCAAAGAAAAATTCAGTACAAGAGTTAAGGGTCCATATAAACTAAAGGACAGATTCAAAAGGTGTCAAAAGAGGACCTTGTGTCTTGACTGCCATGAAAGCACTGCACTGAAATGACACTTTCTTCCCTCACTTCATTCAGGAAAAGCTCCCATCCTCCTTTCTTTGTAAAACATTATCAGCAACCAGCAAGACTCTTCAGTATTTGGACTGTCATTCAGTCCAAAAGAAGAAAAGGAAACACAGAAGAAGAAAATGCTGGAATCCAGCCACCGTGTAGAGGATAAAGTTATGATGGAACACTTGAGTATAACTTTACACTCCTTCTGTACCAGAACAAGATTCACCTACTTTTTCTCCTTTCTCTCCTTGAAAGCCTAATCCCATATTACCCTAGGGGAGAAAAAAGATGACAATGAATAACAAAACATCAGCAACATTGGTATCATTATCATCTAGGCACACCATAATGACAAAAAAAAATAGCCAACAATCAGGTGTGGCAATATGACAGAAATGTAGGTACTTACTTTTGGACCTGGTGGCCCAGGAGGACCCACTGGACCCTAAATGTGAACAAGATCAAGACTTAAGTAGGACGCAAATAATAGGAACAACATTTGGTACCTGAACTTTCATTTCATCTTTGTCCCCAGAGCAAAAGCAAGTGATAAAATAATCTTCTAGTCTTCATATCTATGAGAGACAGCATAGTCCTTTGGCACTACAGTCAGTTAAGAGCAAATCTTAATTCAAAAGCAACAAATATTTACTTTGTTTTTATGGCTGTCCAAATAAAACTCTCTTCTAGTGTCTCAGAAAATGAACTTTTCAGCACATTTCATGAGAAAGGCTCTAACCATGCAGAGATCAGAATATTTCCTCTAGTTCTGAGATGAGGAAGCCTTCAGAACAGTATTAAGTACTGTTTGTAGATGGTGCTCTAGGGCTTTGCTGGAGCTCTCATTCATGACTGTTGCTCTGAACACTGCTCCAGAGGAGAACTTTGGCTCTTGAGATTAAACAGTCTGAGTTCAAGTATTTCACAAATAAAGAACGTGCTTCATCCCCTTAGAAGCACACAAACCTCTGCTCATTGTGATGAGACAAATGTAGTCAAGATGGAAAGTTGCCAACATTTTGAACTATTCTATCAAGAAGTACAACAGTCAGGGCCTCTTACTTGCAAACCTGGTAATCCTATAGGGCCTGCAGGACCTGTTGGACCTGGAAAACCTTTGGAGCCCTATAAGGAGAACACAGGAGAAATACAGAATGTGTAGCACCTATCCCATCAGAAAACATACAGTAATAGCCCCCCAGTTATGTACATTCATTTACATTCTTTAAGAACCCAATTCATATTACAAGACAAAAGTTGGAAATCAAAGTTACAGATTTGAATGGTAGAAGGGAGTTTGAATTTCATAGGGAAAAACAGAACAGACAATAGCAAAATCTGACTTCTGCTGCCATAACATGGACCGACTCATACCATTAGAAAACTGGAGTTATTCAAGCTACTGGTATAAAGAAAACACACAGCCCATTCATTTGAAAAGTGTCCCAGAGAACCAGTACAAGGGAAAGCACCTGCTTCCAGTAATATTCTTAAAAATTATAATTCCCCAAATTAAATAACTTACAGAAATACCATCCAAACCAGGAAGACCGTTTTCTCCCTAAAAATGAAAAGCACATCAGTAAAAATACCATTGTATCACTGCAAGAAACTACGAAGGGCTATAAATACATATTTATTAGTCTAAACAGGAATATTTGCTTTTTAGTTAATGTTCACTTTTAGTTCTGACACCTGTGCTCCCACGTTTAAATTGGGAAATGGAAAGGCTCCAAAAGTCTGAAATAACAACCACCATTTTATTGACAGGTAGCAAAAGAAACTGAAGTGGCATTAAAAAGTTGCATCAGTTGTAAAAAATCTGAAAAACACACTGCAAAAACTTTCATTGCAAACACTATAAAATGTTATTTCAAACGATCTGTATTTTCCACAAATAGCAAACTTAATTTAAACAAAGATCTATTTAATTTTTACCAATGTATGGTTGTATATACACAGATGGGTAGAATTTTAGAAAAGTTCGTCATTTTGATCAACAAAAGGGCAGAGTGAGGGGCCTCACATGACAGAATTTTTTAAAATATTTTTTATATTTAATGAGTAATGAAGCTGCTGAACACAGCACAAGACGTACCAAACCTTTACAGTTTTTTCCCAAGCCTGGTGCTTCTGTCAAAAGTTAACACCACTCCAAGCTGGTGAATGTTTGCTTCAAGGCAACAAAGAACTAAATTTTTATATGAGGATACTGAAGAACCTACTCACTGTCTGGAAAAATAAATTGTGATCATGTTTCCATAGTCTGTATTCTCTTTATAATAAATAAAATTACAGACATGATACAGACATTTCAGGGCAAGGTCCTTATTAAACAGAGAATTAGAATTCTGACTTCATAGCAATAAATGGTGAAATAGTATGAGTGGAATATGGTATTCATGCATTTAAACCCAGAATACAACCAGCTGATTATTAATATCTCCCAGTACAAAAAACACTGGGAGGCAAGTGGGATTTCACAGGAGAAATCTTAATCTGTGCTTGCAAGTCTCCTAGGCAATTATATCAACAGACCTGGCATGTGTGAGGATGCCACATACAGGGAAGTTCTGCATCTGAAAACAAACACGCTACCTCAAGTAAATCAGGGTAAGCTTACCAGAAATTCCTCATATCTATGTTTGGCACCAACAAATGAATGGTGCCAGCTGTCTAGAGACAGGTGAAGGACCAGCAACTACTCTGAACAGTAACAGGATGAGTTATGTGCCAGCAATCCAGTATGCAATAAACAAGATGTTTTAGTGCTGCAAAGATGAAGCAAATTCAAGTTCTGAGAGCATTCTGTGTTGTCATTAAGGAATGGTCTTTTTCTCTGCTCTGCCTTCAGACCTACCTAGAACGCCCATGTTTAGCATTATGAGCAGCCTAAGCTGTAGCATCAGCCCTGAAACCTCTGGAACATCAAAGTGTTTCTCATCCTGTGTTTTCTCCCATAGAAAATCTTACCTTCATTCCTTTAAGGCTGCCTTGAGCAAAAACAGGTTCTCCTTTCAGACCTTTTGGGCCAGGACGACCCTGATAAAAAATAAATGACAAAAATAAATTTCTAGTAAACAATACGCTGATTTGGTTTTGGAAGAAATTACATTCAGTATAAAGAACTTCTTGCTCCAGTAAACTACAAAGGTAGCACTGCAGTGGTATTAGAGAACTTAAGACTTCCTGAGGCTTTAGAAAAACAACACTCTGCAAACATTTTCTCTGGTATTTTCCTGCTTATATTAGATTTTCCTTTTATTTTAGGCCTTTAAAAACTTTTAAGATTCTCCCTGAATCTGTTTGACATGCTGTAACTGCCCTGTACATGTATATATCTCTTCTGTAGAACAGTACATTACCATATTTGCTTAGAAACAGTGAGACAAAAAAAAAAAACAAAAACACACAACAGGTTGCATGCATGAATCTTCTGAAAAAGCAGCTGTTATAATTCTAGATTTACCCCATTTATTTTAATCCTCATCATTCCATGCAGTTTATCCAATGTGATTTCATGTAATTGCCACCTTAATTTGAGAGGAGTTAGCTGATCCAAGCAGCTTTTCTTGCCAAAAATAAAATCCCACACGCATTACAAAATAGAAATTCGAGCAGGAAGTATGAGTAAATCAGTTACTTTAGAAAGTCATATTTTAACTTGCTTTTGTTTCTTTGTTATTTTCAACATTACATTAACTTCAAGTCTGGATGACATATAAAAGAGAGACACGAGCAGTTCCTTTTTTGAATCAACATTCCTTAACCTGAAACATTTCAACTGGAAGATGTTTGACACATTATAGTTCTTAAAAACTTTATCACAGTCTCTTCTCAGTCAGCTTGAATGTTGCCAGTGACAAAGGGATTGGGAGCACACTGTCACAGGACCTTCATTTTAGCCTCAAAAGTTAACATTTACACAGTAAATAAGAGTGGAATTTCAGTAAGAAAATGACACCGAGCTCTAAGAATACTAAGGAACTTGGGGTTATAGGGTTCTTCCTAAGAACTCGGGAGCTATTTTTCCACCACTGGTAAGAAAAGCAAATCCTGGCTTAGTGACAACAAAACACTACAGCTGCCTTGGGACGTACCGGCAGCCCGGGTATGCCAGGAAATCCATCTGTCCCAGAAACACCAGGACTCCCCATGGTTCCATTGCAGCCATCGAGGCCAGGTGGACCCCTGGGTCCAGACTGGCCAGGGTGACCCTGTGTAAAAAGGAAAAAGAGAGGATGATGACAGGTGGTATTTTATTAGCAACACTGTCCCTAGAAAACTTCCGTCTTCCAAATAGCAACACAAAACAAAGGAAACAGGCAACTCCCACTCAAGTTCAGTGTATGACAGGCTGCAGTAGAAGTAGGTTCTTCAGCCAGCATTGTTTATCCTCCCCAAAGATTAAATCCTAGAACATCGGCTGGATTCAATTATCTTTCTCTCCAAGGGATAATTTTCTGAAGTACATAACTTGTGCATGAGTAGGTCCTGAAAGCACAATCTGAAATACACAGCATACGACACGGAGCACAGTGCGAGGGTGCACCTGACAATGATAATGGAAGTTGCTCATGTGAAAACAAGGAAAAAAGCAGGTTCAACAATACTGAGCATTTGTAATTCCAAAGTTATAGTTCCAAGCATGAAAGTTGCACTGACTTCTCTTCCTCTCCACTGTGGATTCTTTCTTTTAATAGTTCAACAGATGTTCCAACTCCAGCATCACATCATTCACAAAACAGCTTTCCTCATCGTATTAAACTTAAAACCTTAGGCAAAGCAACCGGAGAAAGATCTAATGAAACTAGCAGTTGTTAGAGAGTTTTTGTAATGGTCAATTAATAATCAAAAGCAGGATGGAAAAGAGTTGTACCTAATTCTGATTTCACACTAATTTAGCCCTGCCATAGCTCTATTCATTTGACTCAGCACCATAGTGATGCAAAGGAGATAAAAATTAGAGCCTTTAGTTACTTTTTCTTCAGTATCACATGGGAATACTTTGGCAAAACAAAGGAAGGCCAAACTGTCAGTCACAATGCCCAGGTATTAAGCTTCTCTTTATCCTACCCACCTCTTCATAGAAACGAGCTCTGTGGCACTCAAAGATGATGTTTTGTGGTAAGAAGAAAAATGAAATTCAGGGAGTGAGAATCAGTAATTGACAGTTCTCCCTCTCCCCTCACTACACCCTGATTTTCTATCATTCCCAGAGCGTTTTTGTGTGATCCCAAAGATTCATCTTTAAGGTATGGCATTAAATGAGTTATGACTCATGTTAGGAAAGGGAAAAAGAAACAAGGATAAAATGGAGATAAACCAGAACATTAACAATCCTTCATGCTTGACACATAAAACAAATCAGATTTGTGTTACTGAAGGTCTTTCCAGTCCAAGCCAATACCATATACTCTGACCAAGCTCAATGAGAACTTTGTATTAATGTAAAGATCTAAGGATCTTAAAAGGATCTTTAAGATCTTAAAGGATCTTTAGCCTTGCTAAAACATGAGAATGCAAGACTCTTCATTTTACAGATGAGAAGCTGGGGTCACACAGTAGCTTAGTGACTTTCCCAAAGGATGCAGAGTAACTTACAACATGATTATTTAAACATTCAAACTGATCACCAGTGTCAGCTGCTACTGAAAGAGCCATTGCTTGCTGCTGGCCACTCACACCTACTCTTCTCTGTGCTAGCATAAGCACAAGCAGAGCAGGCAAGAAACCAACAACACAGCAGAAAAATAACTATTCTGTTTCTTAATTTTAACCAGATGAGTTCCTTGGTCCAGCACACCTACGTGGCAATTTGTGCCAACAAAATGGAGAGGAGAGAGCCCAGATCTGCCATCTGTCAGTCAGTAAGGTGCAAACTGAATCAACACAAAGTGCATATCCACTGCAGGATCTAGGCAGTTGATGTAGACAGAGATAAATTTGAATGTAACAAGGTCTCAGGACATAGAATGAAGTCACAGAAATCATCCCAAAGCATTAGCTAAAGGCACCACTGTGTAGGTAGTACCAGTAGCCCTGATGATTAAAGTCTGCTGGTCAAAGCACCCACCTGTGGTATGCAAGCAGGGGACTCTCCAGGCCCCAGTCAAATGACATGAAAGGGCTGAAGCACCAATTTATTGCCACTTATACTTCATTTGGTTCCCAAATCTGGAACAGATCAGTGGCAAGCCACCCTCCTCCATCCATACAGTACGTCATAGCCAAGAGCAGCAAGTCTCTGATGCGACAGGCTGTGACTGCAGAGGAAGGCCAGAGTGGTCGATTCCTACGAGGTCCTTCCTTTTGTTTACAGCAACAGTACAGAAGCTATGAGAGATAAGTGCACATGTATCTGGTTACAACATAAGCTGGCCAACTGCAGGGTTTAGGGAAGCTGAGCCAACATCTGCCCCTCAGACAGATGAGGAAGCAAGCTGCTGAGCCTCCAGGGCTGGCCAAGAGCGAGCTGTGCAGGCAGCTAACCAACGGGCCTCATGTCTCGGGAAATGCTTTGGGTAAGATCTCCTAAATCGTGGCGCAATACAGTGTCCAAGAGGCCCAGAAGACTTGGGCATCCCCCTAACATGTGAGGAGGGCTCACAAACAGGATACACATCATGCTGACTATAGTGAGTGCTTATGTGTACTAAACACATCTGTGGCCCTGTCACTTAATCCCATGGCATCCATGTCCGTGGTTCTGAGCCAAAGCTTGACATAGCTGGACACACAGACACATGTTGTCTCTTTTGCTCTAGAAGAAAAACATGGGATTTCCTACTTTCCTACTTTCTATTGTGCAATCAGAATTCATTATGTTTTAAGAATCTTATCTCTGGCAATACTGATTGTGCATAACCAGCTTCCTCAGGAGTCACAAAAATCTGCCTGAAATTATTTTTTTACCTAAAAAAAAGCAGTTAATAGTTTCACTCTACTAGTTCTACAAGTTCCACTCCATTTACTCATTCTCAGCTCCTCCAATTCCTGCGTCAGACACATCAGTTCAGCTCAAGCACTTCAGCTGACTAAGGTGAAGAAGCAGCTTTTATAGTTGTTACTGATGACATGGTAGAGTAACTAGTTTACAAACCTGAGCTAAGAACAGGCTGGAGAGATTACTTGTGCTCTCTGTTCTCACAAAAGGGGTCATTCCTTAGGACATAGATAAGGAAATCTGAACTGTTCATCTAGGCTTTTGCTTTATCTGACTCTTTTGCATACACTAATGCTGTGATCCCAAGCGACCTCTTTTCTAAACCCAACAGGCTTAGCACAAAGGCCGTCCCAACAGGAGAGCTCAACAAATATTTAAAAATCGGGAAACGAATGCAATCAAGGGTGAACACAAAACTAATTGAAGAAGCAGGTTCATGGATTGCTACAGCAAAGTGGCCTCTTTACAGCCTTGCCAAGTGCTTGTATTTCCTCTAGGAGGGACACAAAATAGAGAACTTCACCTCTCTGTGTAACTCTAACTTTCATTGCACAGACAAGCGCTTATTCTGCACAGAAATACTTCTTTCCAGAACTCTTCAGATAGTTCATGAAAAGCTATATACATCCCCAGCTTCAGCCCTTGCCAGAGGTGTCCTTGAATCTTGTCCTATGGGAAAAAATAAACTTCCCAGTAGGGCTAAGGATTTGATGGTTTCCTCTGCACTGTGACACAGAAGGGCTAGCAATAAACACATGCTGCTGCTGTATTTATTAGGTTAAAAGGATTAGTCAGGCCAGCTGCAACAACATGATTTACTTACCAGCAGTATTCCCCAGGGAAATTCTATGGAACACCATTTACATTAAGGTCAACAGTGGGATACTCCTCTGAATTACAGTCTTGCAGTCTTTTGGCCACGGTCAAAATATACCTGCCCACACTTTAGATACCTGCAGGCTCAGAAGATGCTCTCTTCATGTTTGGATGTTAATTCTTGTGCATAGATAGTGATATATTTTTACTTCTCTCTTAGGTATATCAGCACACAGATACTTTTTCTCCTTTGCTCTGCATTTCACACAAACATGTAATGTCATCGGTTTGTGTACATTTCACAACAAACCTAAGCTACTCCCCATCCTGAAATGCAACTGGCAAAAATGTAAATATTTTCTCAAGCAGTGGTGTTTGCTATTTTCACCCAGAATTAAAGCATTTGTCTCAATGGCTAGAATGTAAGCAATATGTATTAGTTCCCCTGAGCCTCCCCTTTTTCTGTCCTGCAGTTGTAACACAGAAGAGCCAAAGGTGAGCATTTCACTGCTCATAAGCAGCAAAACCTACTTCTTTCCCACTGGCCCACCTGCTCAATATTGTAAAGGAGACAGAGTAGATCTGCATATGCTGGAGGCTTTGAATCCTCTCATCTGCCTCCCCCACTCTCTCCTTGGAATGCCTGCTGCTGCCAACTACCTGGCAGTGGTTTTTGCTATATCTCTATCCTTCCCTTATTGTTGGGAATCCCCTTTCTCCAGAGCCTCATCTGAAAAAATACCCTGAGAACAGCATGTTCCCACAGCGTGTTCAATTAAATTAAGTATTATGGGAACAGCTTGTTCTCTTCAGAGCTAGAGAGTTAGTCTGCTGGTGGGAAAAGAAAAAAATAGCAGCAAGGGAGTAGAGCAGGAGAGAAAACAGGCAAGGATGAATTGAGGGAAAGAAGGGGCCAAAAAGGAGCTCCTTCATGGGGCCAACTATGCATCTTCAGCCAACCTATCAAAACAATTCAGTGTTTGATAGGAAGTAGGAAAACACAGCTCAACCACGATGAAACTCTTGGCCAGCTGAGAATGTAAGGTAGATGGGAAAGAGAATAAGAGTGCTCAGAAGCACAAGCACACAGTAGGAAAAATATCATTAAAAAAGAAAATATAATTCTAATACCAGAAGGAGAAAGCAAAACTAGCTAAATAGTGCTGAGAGAACAAGGAAATCTGGGGCAACTTCTAAAGCTGGCCCAACTTAAAAGTCCTCTGAGGCAAAGCATTTCTAACACATCTCTCCAAGAATCACTGGGGAAAACCAAAGCAAAAGAGAGCTCACCAAAATAGGCATATAATTTTCAGTATGATGCAGGAAACAACTTCTAGAAAGTTCAAGTTGTAAAGAAACAAACCAAAGACTCCTGATGGTCAGGAAAAGTAGTTACCAACTCTTACCACATGGCAAATGCACTACTCACCTCTTTTCAGTTTTAGGTTTCTGAAAGGCTCAGATCTAAACCAGTACTAGAGCCGAGCCTGGAAGCAAGAATTCTTCAGAGGCCTCAGACCTAATCACTGTTTTGGTTCACATCATAGGAAAAGAAGATTGAAGGAGATCTGATAATAGTTATTACATTAACTATACATATAAGAAGGCTACTGGGAGGAAAACTGGAACAATCTGCACCCTGTGCCCGCAGCAAGCAAGATAAGAACTAATTGCAGCATAAACTACAATATGAAAAGACTGAAGTGAGGGAACTGGATTCTTTTTCAAACAGAGAAAGTAGAGTCTCCATCATTGCACATTATGTAGAATTGCCATTTCCCTCTAGAGAGAAGAGACATTCAAGTGACTTATGTTTGCATATGTAAACTCACTGGGATCCCATTGATGCCTTGAAATCCTGGAACTCCCATTGAACCCTGAAATAAGATGAGAACATGTTATATTTCTCATTATCAATCTGTATATTTCAGTCACTGGTGAAATAGTTTTCACTTCAACACTTTCAGTCTTGGACTTCAACCTTCAATACTAAAAGAAGCAAACTATCTCACGTAGATTCCCTCTGACCACAGAAGTCACTGAACATCTGAGCCTGTCTAGATGCCAAATGAGTGTTTCAGGAATGTTTTAATCAGGCAATTTAAAGGAAAAACATAATCTCCTATTGCACATCTGGGGAAAATAAGATGCCAGGAATATAAACAATCCAGTGTAAATTTAACTCTCAGCGTGACGCTTGATCTTCCAAGAGTTTCAACAAGTCTTAAAGGTTCTTATTCATCTATGTTTTTATACCTCCATCCAGGGACAAGTAGACAGCTTTATTAATTCAGATCACCTCCGACTGAGTTGCAAGGGAATATCACTTTGCTGGTTCTACTGCTCTACTATGGATAATAGTAGAACAGGCTGCACGAGCAAAACACCCACCCGAAATTATTCTTGCTTTGGAAAGATAAAGTACATTGCTTCTGTGAAGGGGAGGATCTTACTGCATGTTGGTATTGTATATGCAGCCATTTCAATAGATAGAAACAGAAGTTCTGGAGTAGACAAAGGACTATTTCAGTGCAAGGTAATTGGTTTCAGTTGTTAGAGGCTAGTTTCAATTCCAGATTTCTGTCTCTTCCAAAATGTGAAATAACTTCAGTGTTATCTGCTAGAACTGTGAAATATCACTCACATCAGCAGTCAGTGCTTGTTTTGAGCACTCCTTTGCCTTTCAAATTAATGCAATACTGAGGCAATGACTTTCATTGTCATCACTGTTACTTTACTATGTTCTTTGCCTTATGAGAAAGGATGACTGGAACTTCAGTGTGTTGACGAATATTAAGCGAAGCGGAATGTAACTGCAGCATATAAAGCAGAAGTGATCTGGCATTCACCTAGCTATCCCACTTACCAGCAGCTGACAAAATGTGGCAAAACAAGTCCTAGTCTGCTGGTCCTGGTTTCTAAACTATCTGGCTTTTTCTTACTTGCATATATAATTTGAGCATTTTGCATCAGATAGATGGTCAGATGATCTGGACAGTCCTGGAACACAAGTCCTTGTCTTGATGTCCCAAATTTCCTTCAGATTTTTGAAATCTGCAAAATCTGCAGATTATTGAAAGCAACACAAAACTTCAAACTACTGTCCTTGAAGCATTCCTTTCGTCCAAGCACGTGTGTATGAAAATGGGAAATTCATTCCAGTTCATACATTAGACAGTATCAGACATTCCTATCATATAACCTCTTTTAGGCTATGTGGTGGGAGCATACACTCTGCACTACTTTATGCAACTGGACATGATGAGTCCTCAGTACACAACTCAAAAGTCACGATGCAAACACACGCCTAGAGCACAACGTAAACTTTCCTTAAGGTAAACTACCTTCATGTATCCACTCTACATCAATGAAAGTATTTGCTCATACTTCCACTGACTCTCCTGCCTAGTCTGAACACCCGCTTTGCTACTTCCTAAGAAGAAACAGCAGAACAAACCCTCAGGGCACTAAGGTACCTTTGCCACTGTGCCCAATCATGCACATTCCCTTCACTAACACCTATGCTTTATGTTGGGTTATACTATTTAATATGGCAGCTCATAATATTACTTCTGTTATAAATATCTTTTCACCTGCAAAACTGAGTTGCAGGTTCCACTCAATATCCATTCCCTTTTTCAGATGTCAGCTTGGTATCTCCTACATAGGAATCAGCTCCAGATCTCTCTGAATGTAGCACAAACGATATCCATCCATCTCTGGGCAGGTGAAGTGAGAAACTACTGGCAAAAGCAATGTGCTTCTAGCTATGGTTCACCTACCAGGATGGCTATAATGCTCAACAGCTTTGGAACCTGTGTTTTTACTTCAAAATAAAAGCAGGGGATTCTCAGAAAGTATTGATGTAATACCCTTGTCCTTTGGCAGACAGTCCAAGATGTTCCTTATATATTCAAACACATTAAACAAGACAACAGATCTATTGCAGGTGGAAAAAAAAAGAAAATTCATTGTTGAACATACCTTGTTGCCTTTGTGCCCAGCTGGTCCAGGGGGGCCCACTGCTCCTCTCTCACCTTTTGCTCCTGGCAAACCCTCTGGACCAGTAAATCCAGGAGCACCTATTGGTCCTTGAATCCCAATTGGCCCTGGCCGACCCTAAAATACAACAAAAAATAAGTCAATACACCATATTTATAAACTTCCATTTGCTTCAGCCAGCTTAATCTTTAACATAATTTGATATCTGCTAGGTTAGTTAGAACTAAAGTTTTCCTCTCACATTTTCAGATAAAGATTGTTTTCAGATCTATTCCAGATAAATGATAATTAGATAACGAGTAACAGAAACCTCCCTTTTATTCCTGAAAGATTTAATAGCACCCATAGTGCTGTAGAAATGTGGTAAAACAACAGTGTTTTGAGATGAAGCTGACTACTGCTCAGGAAATTTGCAGACTCTTTTTCCAAGGTGCAAAATACAAAAAGCTTTTTGTTTATGCTTTAGTTCAAGTACAATAGAAGACAAAACAAGATGCAAGAAGTGAGAGGGTCACATGCAGTCAGAAAACACACCGGATTATTTGAGACTAGTACCATGGTTGGCTCAAGACTAAAACTCCACAGTGAATTAGCTTATATTCCACACTGATTGCCTTCCAGTCAGGGCGTGTTTTTCGACCTTCCAACAGAAGAAGGTGCAATGCCAAACCATTGCCTGAAGAGGGCAACATTTTCTAAAACTGCAGAGACTCATCCGTGACTGACGAGCTCCTATTGTTCTACCACTGCAGATGTGCAGAGCAGTCTGGTGCTTGGTTATTTAGCAAAACAGTGCTGTCGAAATAATGCTGTAGGCGCTCTGGTTTTTTCTTAGCCTCAGAACCTACCACTTGACAGCTGAATACTTACCACGGAGTTTTGTGTTAACATTTTTACACTGCTCAGTTCATTTTGAGAGAATCTGAAACGGATCAACAGATTCTAAGAGCCCACAGTATTGGTAGAAATTGGCAGTTTAGGACAATGCTTTCTAGCAAGGGACGGAGTGCATTACATGGAGTTATCCATGTAAAGAATCAAGCCTGACATTAAAAGATACGGAATGGAGAAAGAAGTTTAAAAGAAAAGACATCCTGCTTTCAGTTCTCTAGTGCCCACGTCCATGGTATTGTATTTTTATTCTATTTCCCTCGCTTCTTAGAACAGCAAAAGGAATGCAGCTCCCTGCTGCAAGGGTTTTAATAATCTCAGCTGGAGACATACAAAGTCTTCACTCCATGCCTTGGCAGGTAAAAGACTTTGCTACTAATTTAAAAATGGATTTTTACATGTTAACAATCAAATGAAATGAAAGAATCCATGATAGATCTTTAAAATTCTTTTTCCAGGATCATTTTTATGCCCATTTAGGCTAAAACATAACACCCCATGTTCCATCACTCTCGGAGCAGTTTTCTTATAAGCTTTAGCAGTTCCCTCACATCACTCCCTGTTGTGATTGTTTCATCTCAGTCTTTAACAGAGGTCAAGTACAGCTGTTCCACATTTCATACCTTTTCTGCACACACACTATGCATACTGTGAGCTTCTAGGGGCACAGGCTCCCATCTGAAAAGGCTTTTCAGTTGATTACTTATAACTTTTTTCACTTTAGGATAATTATCAATGGAATCCTTTATATTGGGACCAAGCGATCGTAGCATTAATCTCCAACTCTTCAGTGGTCCTTAGCAACCACACAAAACAAGGAACACGCTGTGAAAATCACATGCTTTGCTCATGCTGTTGGTCTCAGCTTTAAGCTTCCAAGCTATTCAGAGCCTTGTGGGCGACGCTTCCCTTACAAGACATGGGCTGAGCACAGCTCACCTCAAGGCAACGCAGTGCAGATACCTGTACTGAGCAGGACAGCCACCAGCCTTGAGGGCAACAGCACCCATCAAGGTCTCTAAGGAAAATACACAGAATTCCTCAACCACTGGAATTGTAAACACCTGTATTTAATTAGTTTACCTGTTTAATGACACTGTTCCACAATGACTGGAAGTGATAGCTATGAGAATTTTAGGAGGTTTTTGTTTTGCACTGCTGCAGATGACTGAGACAAATATATCCAGAGGAGACAGAAAGGATAAGAAACTATGTTCTGCATGTGTGCAGCTCTGGAGCTGACAGCAAGAAGAAGCATGTTCTGAGTGGTGTCAGCATCCACAGGTTAAAAGGTCTCTTTTGGTACCATGCAAGAGATTTTAACAGCGCTGGAAGATTCTGTCCAGTGCCTCAGAGCACCACAAACCACAAAGACACAGTAAAGTGCTTCTAATCTCTCTGATAATGTGATTATGCCATGATAATCAGGCTCTCAAGAATTCCTACTGTTTCTTTTGAAGTCCGTGCGGATGGAAATCATATTTTATATGCTGAAACAAAGGACTTTGCTGCTAAAGAAGCCGTGCTTTTCATCACTCAGCAGCACTCCCATGAACTGTCCCAAGACAAAAGCGTTGTGAAGAGCAGACGCTGTGCTATGCAGGAGCAATGCCAGGAGAAAAGCACAACAAAGACTCAGGTTTTCCCACAAAGTAAACTCACAAGGTTCAGTGACTTCAGTGAGTTTACACTGTGGTAAGTGCCTCACCTTTACTGTGCTTTGGCACCAGGGTTGCTCTTACTTCTCACTTAGCCCAGGGATAAAAAGAACAAACAGCTCTTTGCAGTGAGGACAAGATTAATCACCAAATGTGAATTGTATCAAAAAGAAACACCAGGGAATCAACAAAACCCTCCATTTTTGGTCACATATGTACACATAGTCCAGTGGCCTGTAGAAAACCCATTAGGAACTGAAGAAAATGGTATTGTTTTGGTGTGTGTGGCTTTTTTTAATGGAAAATTTTAGAAATTTAGTAACACCAAGCAATGACAAAGCCTATGAAATTACTGCAATTTGTGAATCTTTCCATAAATGCCCACTAGAATTTCATATATTCGAAACACATGACATGAATTCTCCAACACATTTGTGTATCAGGCTTTTAGTACCCAAACAGCACCAAATTATGATGTCTGTTCCTCTGTAATGAATATGTTGCTGATAAATAAAAATGGCACTGTATCAAGACACACTTGTGGCCTCTCCATAGATAATTTCAGAATTCTGTGCCACAAGTTCAACATGCATTACATGCTTCTCTGCTACGTACTTTGCCATTGTAACCATTCAAACTACAGAGATGTCTCAGACCCAGGATGTTGCTCCACAACAAAGTGGAAAAATGGCTGGGGATAGGAAGCACCCATTGCTTCTGCATCACCACCCTGCAGAGGGAGGTAAAACAAAATGACTTTGATCACAGCATCTTTGAAGATAGAAAAAGCTCTACAGGAGGTGTCTTCTTCCCTTCATCCTGCAATCCATTGCCTCCCCCAGGTGCCAGAAGAGAAGGCCAGTTGGGTGGGGAATAGGGGAGTCTCTAAGGAATCTGCTGCTGCACCAATGAATACATCACAGTTTCTCCGTTGTCCCTTCCCATTTTGCCAGCTCTAATACCCCACATAAATTTTCGCCCACTACAGCAGAGCTTCACACATAGCACTGCAAATTCCAAACATTCTTTTTTTTTTTTTTTTCTTTTTTTTTTCCCCCCAGTGCCTCTGTTAGCTTGGAGAATCAAGTGCAGATCTGTTCCATCTTTCACTGTGCGATGGAACACAGGTAGCAGAGGTACAGAACCACCAAACAAGTCTCATATTTCAGGGACAAAAAAATAATACAAGTACCTGCCTACCTGGGGGGCAGATCTGCTAGCTTCCCTCAATACCAGACATTAATTCAGTGGCTCATCAGCAAAAAAGGGTGCTGAAACTCAGAAAGCTGGACAAGTTGATTACTAACCAAACAGAATGCTACTCATCAAGTTGGGCAGACCAGCTTCAATCAGTGTTTCAAGAGCCCCATGTGTCGAAGAAAAAACATTGTTATTATTTTAAGCAAAATAAAGATCCGTGTACATAAAAAGCCACTGACTTTAAAGATGTTCATGCTTTCCCAAGCTATTGCACAAATCTATCAGATAGATTAAGGATGTCTTCTGTAACTTGGCTTTTGACTTCCATTCTAGCACAATATTAAGTTGCACAAAATCCCAAGCTCCTTCTTTTCAAGTAGAATTTAGTGACCACAGTTTTTAAAAGGGTCTTATTTACTCTTTTTCTTCTTCACCCATCATTTCCTCCAAATACAATGTGTTAGAGACAAAGATTTACTTCACAAGTACACAGTTTGTAGTCTACAGCATTTATTACTCAGCTGATTACATTGAGGTAAACCAAAGAACCAACCACTAGTCTTTATGGAATTAGAAATGCATGTTCTCATATCCTCAGTACAAGGGGCAGAGCCCAGCTTAAAACTCTCAAGGAAGATCTACATATGCTGACTCCCACATTATACAGATAGAGGTCCTTCACAAAGCATGTTCACACAGGTCCTTCCTTCCCCCTTTAAGCCACAGCCACTTACCCTATCCAGGGATGCTGCATTACAGAAGATGACACACAACCAACACACCAAGCTCAGGTGAAGTGACTGCAAGTGACATATCACAGCAAGGCAGTGTCCATTTGCACATAGGGGCCTCTTAGTGGCATGACCCTTGGGTCAACCAGTCCTTCTTTCTAGGCCTCCATTTCCTCCCTTCCCCTCTGCACCAGTGGTTACCCCAGCCTGACACACAGCTCCTAGCACAAGTAGCCCTGCTCTCATCCAGGGCCTCTCAGCTCTACTGAAATAACAATAATTACTGATGAAAAACCCTTCAATATTTTCCCAAATTACAGGTTAGTGTCATTCCTGCATTCCACTATAAGTAATTATTTTCCCTACCGAAAAATGCTTTGTACTTTTAAAGAATTATTGTCCAAAGTCTTCTACAAACTCAGGAAACTCTTGTTCAGGATAGCTTCTGTAATTCTAGCATACAGCTTGCTGTTCTACACAGCTTCTTTTATCACACACAAAGAAATAAGGACAAGAAAAATATCCTGTGCAGCAATCTTATTTCATTCAGTATCTTCCCAAAAATCTTGCACTCTTTCTCTTTGATACCCCCCCTTTGTTGGTCAGATTTTTTTTTTTTTTTACTATTTTGTTACTA